AAAGTGTAATTCCAATCTATGAGCCTACCTTGTTCCAAAACTCCTGTAAATAGGGAATAAGCTTTTCCATTACTTCTTATGATAAAAATTTGTATCTCATTCTGACATAATTTATTCAAACTGCTCATTTCTTCACAAAACACCTATTTACATGCCAACCAACGATTCAAAATAAAATAAAATGGAATTGTTGATTAGACTATTCACTGATATAAAAGGAGCTAATACAAAATGAAAGAGGCAAATTTGCTTCTTTATTTAATGGTAAATAAACAAAAGTTAATTAAGGCAATAAGTAAGCAGAAAACAAGGAAAATAGAGTAAAATGAAGTTAGTTTTAATTGGCAAAATTGTAAACACTAATAGAAAACAAGATATAATTGTTTAGGGAAGTGTGCCAGTTGCTAAAAGTCTTCATCACAGGTGAAGGATGGCATTTTTTCTGCAAATTAGAACACAGTGTGAATGAAGACCAGAATTGAAGAGTCATCTAACTGGAATATGCCAGAATTTCATTCTCACTGCACTTTGATTAAAATATTTTGTTCTCAAAAATATTGGATGGAGCTCATTGTACTGAGTATTTCCTCTTATAAAAAAGAGAAGAAATATAAAAGAAAATGGCCAATTGTATCAAATTCTCACAAAAAACAGTAACAAAGACTTCGTGTTAATGTTAAAATAAATAAATTTAAAAATATAAATAAACTTTTATTGAAGGCAAGGATTTTTTGTAAAGTAAATTTATCTTCATTCATTTTATCTCAAATATTGATAGAGATCACACTAAATATTGGATAACAATTTTACTTTATGAAAAATTTAATTCTTAACCTTATACTATTTCTGTGACTCTTACAAAATGTTTGCCAAAGATCCTTGCATTTTTTTTTGTCATTTTTCTCACATTATAATTCTTAATAAATAATTATTAAAAGTAAATCATTATTTAATTAAATTTTCTGAAGTCCTGAAATGCATTTCCTCCAATAAAACCTATATCAACAAATGCTCCTTGTGTGACATGTTACTGAGAAAAAAAGCCAATAGCTTTTAATTTTTTAAAATCCACAACAAAACCAGTAACAGAAAATTTAAGTAAATCATTATATTTAATTTTTCCATTTCATCAACATCAAGTATTTTCAGCTTATACCCAGTGAGTATTTTCATTAATTTTACGTCTTGCATTTAGTTTGAATGTACCAATTAAAATTAATTTCTTCTTTTCTAGTAGTTTACTGCTAGAAAAGAATTGAAAGAATTTTGACTTATTTCAACTGTTTCATAAGTATATTCAAATTTCTGGTGGAAACAAATTGATAAAGATTTCACTTGTATAATTATTAATTACAGTTTTTAATTGAAATTGAAAATTGTTCATTTGTCAAAAGGATAATTGATGTTATCTCCTTGATAAATAATAAACTAGTTTTTTAAAAGTTTTACTATGGCATTTCAGAAGATCTTAGAACATAAAAAAAGTTTTTGAATTCCATGCACGGAAAGCTAGTACTCTTTTTCTAGAAGTTTCTTAATCCATAAGAGAACTCCATAGTTCTGTTGTGGATTAAGAAACTGTTAGAAAAAGAGTGAAAGGTTTTGTGAAACTTATTAAAATATTTGAAAGATAAAAAGTAAATGTTAAAATTTAAACTTCTAATAATTAATATAGTAAACTTTTTAACAAATGGTATGGGTATATTATTTAGAATTCCTTTCATAAATAGAAAAATAAGTTTGTAGGTTATAGTATTTCTAAATAAATTTTTCAGCAAATATTTAATTATTGCAACAAAAATTTAAATTGTTACAGCTATAAATTAAATTTAAACAGATCTATAATATTTCTTATGTTACTATTAAATTTAGAACAACACATTAACTGTTTTTTAAACATGATTAGAAATAATTAGAATTCTAAATTCTGTATATTCTAGATCAGGGTTCTCCACTCTTTCTTAGAACGACCACTTGAGCTTTAAAAGACAAGTCTGGGGCTAAGTACGAAACATACAGTCAAAGATTAAGATTTTTTTAAATTTCTGAATATCAAATATAAGTCAATGTAAAATTTTCAACTGCTTTTTCAAAAAAATGTCATCAAAATTGGGGATAAATTTTATATTAAAATTTACCCAATAAATATTAAAATCTCCTTTAGATATTCATTGGATTGAGATGTTAGTTATTTTGTTTTTGTAAATGTTTGTTTGCAAAAGTACAGTAAAAAGAAGAAAAAATAGAAAATATCCCCCTGTACAAACTTTTTAAGACTGAAAATTCTCTGCTGACAGATTTGTGAAAACCTTCCTTCTTTAAATAAGATTTTATAAAAATCCTTTGTAGCAAGGTCTATTAATTCTGTTTGACTTTTCAAAAATTTTATATGCTTTGAACCAGTTTGATTGCTGATGATAAAATGTTTCTGTGAAGACAAGCTAAGCAGACAAGATAAGTATGCTTCAGGGGCTATAGATTGGCAATCCCCTATTCTATTGAAGATGATTGTATTCTGTATTATTGCTACTGAAGTGTGGTTCCATTATTATTAAACAAAATGCCTAAGTTAATAACTAAAAAATTTTCAATTGTTATATTAAAATTAACCATTATTAAAATTTATTACAGTATTTTCAATATTGAAATTTAAAAAATTTTTTAATTTAAAGCAAAAATTAAGAGAAAATTTTTACATTCTATTCTATTAACTCTNTAAAATTATTAATATATTAAGTTTTCCATATTAATGTTGGAAAATGTATTTGTAGTGTTTTTAATGGCTGTATTATAAAATCTTTCCAATGTTACCCACTATACACCGTGGTTTTAAAAGACCATAGGTATCGTATAAGTGTTACAATTTTTAAGTATGATAGTTTTATGTCAGTAAATATGACCTACAGTGAGGAATTTTGTCATGTTACTAATTGTGTGTTTTAATAATTTGTAGTATTGCACTGAAAAGGGATTTAACATTTATATAAGCCCGAAATGCATATGTGGAAACAATAAAAGAAGTGTCTAACCTGAAAGCTGTAATGACAGTCTACCAAATTTAATGTCAGATTAAAGAGACATACATACATACATAGATCATAATAACAGCTACCAAAAGTGATATTACCATCATTGGTAAACACCAAAGCCCAACACTCATCAAAAGAAAACTTTAAGAACCTAACCACAAAATTACCAATATACCAGCAAAATTCAATTTAAAAACGAACGTTTTCTACCGTCTTCACCGGTCATTCTCAGGTTCGATTCCAAGATTTCAAAAAAATCGAACATCGCAATTATGTGCATGTCCGATGCAGGGCCTTAATAAAACTATTCGTGGAAATGGTTTCCTGCTTCAAAAATCCGATGCTTTATATTATAGTGTAGACATATATGGCGCGCATCCATTATACGTCATAATAGTGTAGACATATATGGTGCGCATCTATTATACATCATAATACGTCCTCCACGCCGTCGCCAAAGAGTTTGTTTCCTTGAAATTGATGGCTGTTCCCTTTCTGAACGCTTTAAAAATTTCCAGCTGTTCTAGATATTTCAGGCTGGCCTGGTGTTCACACCGTTGTATTAAACGTGNATTCATTGGATTGAGATGTTAGTTATTTTGTTTTTGTAAATGTTTGTTTGCAAAAGTACAGTAAAAAGAAGAAAAAATAGAAAATATCCCCCTGTACAAACTTTTTAAGACTGAAAATTCTCTGCTGACAGATTTGTGAAAACCTTCCTTCTTTAAATAAGATTTTATAAAAATCCTTTGTAGCAAGGTCTATTAATTCTGTTTGACTTTTCAAAAATTTTATATGCTTTGAACCAGTTTGATTGCTGATGATAAAATGTTTCTGTGAAGACAAGCTAAGCAGACAAGATAAGTATGCTTCAGGGGCTATAGATTGGCAATCCCCTATTCTATTGAAGATGATTGTATTCTGTATTATTGCTACTGAAGTGTGGTTCCATTATTATTAAACAAAATGCCTAAGTTAATAACTAAAAAATTTTCAATTGTTATATTAAAATTAACCATTATTAAAATTTATTACAGTATTTTCAATATTGAAATTTAAAAAATTTTTTAATTTAAAGCAAAAATTAAGAGAAAATTTTTACATTCTATTCTATTAACTCTATTTATTAGTTACAAAATTAGTCTTACATGACTTAGGATGACCATAATAACAAATAGATAAATATCCGATTACAAAACAATAAAATGCAATAAAAAAAGTAAAAATATCAATGCACTAAAATATTAAATAAAAATGCAAATAGTGAAATTAACAGTGCAGAAAATGTTAAAATCAAAAACAAACAGAAAGATAGATTAACCTATTGCTTAAATTGAAAGTTTTAAACAACAATAGAGAACTTTAAATGAAAGAAATCATAAAACAAGGCTTCTTCAAGTTGCCCGACGTTGCCGACTGCATGGTGGAAAAAAAAAGACCTTTTAAAGATATCTAGACAAAAATTAAAAAGAAAAAAGCACATCAAATTGCAAGTAACATGGGGAGGAACTCTCAAATGCACTCTGTCAGTGCAGAGAACTCCATAAAAATATTTGAAGAGTAATAAACAGTTGAAATATTCAATAAATTTGTTTAAAGTAGAGAAGTTCAGTCTGCTTCTGGCAATTCTTCCATTTATCCTTGCTCCCTTAATTAGAAAGTTTACTTATAGGAACATAAAGCCTTGTTGAGAGCATCTCTAACTTTACAATGAAGATACGGAGCAGAGTGGCTCAAACTGGCAGGTAATAATTGACAATCAACTGAAAATTTGTAAAAATAAAGCTCTAAAAAGGGAGAAGTCCAATAAGTGATGATAATGGTGCCAAAACATGTTCCTTGTATACTTTTGTTTGTTCTGTTTGTTTATGGTAGTGAAATGCAGATGAATTTTCACCTAAATGTTTGATATTTTAATCATTCATCCTAAATTTTTTTTCTGAAGTAATTTTTAATTTTTATATGTTGCAGGTTATAACAGCATGTCATTAAGCATAAAATAAACTGTTTTCAGTGTGAAAAACATTACAGCTTGATAAGTGGCAAATAGCAGGAACTTTAAACAGGAAGAAGGAAAGTTCTAAGACAGACATGATATCAAGCTTCTAAGATTATTGAAAAAGGTTAAACAATGGAAATTAACAATAACTTGGTCTTTGTCAGATAGAGTGAAAATATTAGCCATTGTGAAGAAATCAAAGTATAATACAAATATGTTTAAGAAGTAAAAATATGCATTTTTAGAGGAAAACAAAGTAAGAGTACTTTATATTTAAGTTATTTATTTCATGAAATTATCTTCCTTCTTTTTAATTTTAAATGGATTTGAAAGATTATTGACTTTTACTTGCTAATTAGTAAATATCACATATTTACTGTATTATGTGAATACAAATTTTGCATGATAAACTCAAAATGAAATGGAATTTAAAAAATTCAAAATTACAGAAGTTAATTGTGGAATTATGTTTGAACAATCTAATAATCAGTTTTAATTTCAGTTATAAAAATTATAGGTATTTTTTGTTATTTATAATTTTCTTAAATTTATCACTGCACTTAATTTTAGCAATTTTTATTGATAACATTTTTAAAGAGACAATTGTTTATTAAATACTTAATCTATAGAATTTCTATAAATTCCAATTTCATGGACAAAATTTTGAACCATATATATTTCTAAATGATCAGGTTTTCAGTTTACACTTAATTCAATTAATTTGTAAAAATAATGAATAAGTTTAACATTATACATAAGTGTACTGTTAAACTGAAAGTAGTACTCTATAAATAGTTTATTGAATATCGTCAGTATGATAATTGGCATCAATGAATCATATTAGCAAACCATTCACTATTAAATTTTCATATGCCACCATAATAAATTTTGTAAATGCAACTACTTTTGGTTACTTTAGAAATGCATAAATAAAGTATTTATTTACAATTAAATATAACTTCTAAGATATTATTTTCACTTATGGACTTAATCAAATCATTAACAGATACAACAAATTTCAAAAAGTATGCCTTGTATTGATAACCTTTCAAAATTGTTACTTAGTTTCTAAGGTTTCACATCATAAAAAAACAGCATAAAATACAAATTGTCATTTTTGACATTTATGGAGAATATAAGAAGAAATTTCTTTTGTTTTTAAGTCTTTACGAGTTTAATGAATCAAACTTGCACAAACATACTTAAGTTTATACATATGCACATGCTTACTACTACCTTGAAAATATTCAGTTTAACTTTTGTAGAAATGGAAATGTTTATCTAATTTATAAAAATAATCAATGCTAATTTACAATTTGTCTAAATTTTAGAATGTGATTATTTAATATATCAGTCTTTTGCATAAAATAAATAAAATATAACTTCATTACTCATTAATATTAGTAATTTTATTTTATTTATAAATTACTTTCGTAAATTTTATTGCAAATATTTTTGTTTTGCATTTAATATTAAATACTACAAATTTACAAATTGATAATTATTGATAAGATATTACTCAGATTTTAAAATTTTATGGAATTCTACTCATAAAAATAACATCTCTTGAGAACAAAACAAATAAGAAAAAATATTTATAAATTAAGTAGTGAAACATGCATTCTCATATAAGTTTAAATGATTATATTCATTATGATATTAAAAGTTATAACATTAATACTTTCAATATTGGAAGATGGGATATGATAGGGGTACTAAAATACTTTTTAAAAAATTTGTGTTAAAAGATTTAAATTGTAAAATAATAATTTAGAATGTTTAGATATAGAATCTATCCTTGTTGGAAGGAATTTTGACCTCACGATTAAAATTTTGTTTAAATCTTGCTGCATTAAGTAAACAATATTATCTCATTTGAACAATTCTTCAAACAATATTATCAATAGCTGCGCATAAAACAGTATTATCTCATTTGAACTCCTTGCCGACTACTACATGTGTAAGATTACAGTCAGAGCATGTATATAAGACAATTATATTCTGGGCATGTTAGTTTCTAAGTTTTCATTTTGATTTATTTTCATTTAATTAAGTGATGCACATTTATATAATGCTGTGAGACCAAGAAAGTAATCATACTTTTAACATGACATTTAAAATGATTACTTTCTTTCAGTTAATGACTAAATGGCAACTTCTTACAGAAGCTGAAATTAAGATAAAACTAAAATTTATTTTAGAAATATGAATGAACTAATAATCACTCTAACATTAAACTTATCAACAATTATAATAATGAGTTTCACATTAGCAATTTGATAAATGATCCATTCCATTTGTGATTATAAAAATATTCTTTTGAATGGAAAGGTCAATTTATGAAACTGTTAATAAATCTTTGATGTGTTAAATGATTAATGACAAATATTTATAATTGAACAGATGTCACAAAGATACAGTTTCATAAATATTACTATAAAAAATATAAATTACAGTACAAGATATCTTTTGATATCATTGATGTTACTTTGATATCCTAAATATTACATTTGGATTTAAAAGTTACAAATGCCCCAAATCTATTGTAATATTTATATATTTTTTTTAATGATATTGATACAAATTATTTAATTATAATATTAGATATTAACTTTTAAAAAGTTTATTATCACAAACTACTTATAGATTTATTTATTATTAATATTAAAGAAAGATCAGAAACATAAAATTCATACTTATCTGCTTTCAGAATTTGAAAATTCTATAGTCACTTTTTAATGTTTCTAGTATGAACTTTTGCTTATTGTAACTAAATGCCAATTCTTCAAAAACGAAATCCATAAAACACACCATTCCCATAGGCAATGCATCCGTTAACGCAGGCTTTCATTTATCTCAAATGCACAGATCTTTCTCTACTTGAAGCATCTTGAAGTGATGACATAACTAGCAATTCTTTCCAAATTAGCATAAATTTTAAATCAAATGACAAATAGAACTCTGCGATTTTATTTGATTTCTTAATGACTTTGTAGCGATTTTGACTCAAGCACGACGTTCAATTAAAGTCAATTAAAAATCATAGAAAAATAATGAGTTTGATTTTAGCATTTCAAATTCTTAAATGTAAAAAAAATTAAATAATAGTTAAATAATACAGATATAATTTTTCAAAAATGAAACCTCGAACAATATTAATTATTATTTATAAATTTGACTGTAATTATATTCATGTAAAATTTAAAAATGAAATTGTTACAGTACTCGATAGATGAAGAAATATTTATTGATTTAGATGAAAGAAAACCACTCAAAGTGATTCATTACAAATTACAAAGAAATAACAGTCAAATAAAAAGGAAGTCCAGTACATTAAAAATTACAAAATTTATTGCTTAATATGGTACTTATAAAAAATAAATATATAAATGCAACAAGATAACTATAACAGAGAAGATCCTGATCATTTATTAATGCCATAAATTCTCAAAAATCCTAATGGTTTGAGATTGATGCGAGTCCAAATTTTACAATTGTTAGTTTTTTAATTATTTTAAAATGATTTAGATTTTTTAACAATTTATTTGATATATTAAGTTAGAAATCATTTTTAATTCAAAATTTTTATGGTAAATTATGACAGATTGCAAATTTCTGAAATGCAACCATCCGGTGTCTTAAGTTTTAGATAATTTTGGTTGAGGTGTGGATTTTTGAGAACCGATCGTCTTAGTATACATCACGGACATGCAAGTAAGTTAAAATTTAATTTACATTTTCAAAACTTTGTTATATTTGAAACTGAATGAATTAAGAATATAAAATCAAAATTAAACAACATCTCAAAGCTATTTTAAAATAGTTCCTTTAATTATACATTTTGATAAGATTTTGGAATACATTTCATTAAATAAACTATCTCAGTTTGTTATATTTTGATATTTAATGTAATTATTGAGGAAGTTTACAATTGATAGTTTAGTTAACATTAGCTTACAATTATATTTTGTTCATAGTTAAGAAGTTGTGATTAAAATCTATTTATAGTTAGAATGATAAATGTTGTTTATACAATGTTTATTTAGTTTGATAAAATTTTATATAACAAAATGATGATATCTTGAATAATTTACATAATTTTGAGTATTTGATATGAACGTTACATTCCTTTGGTCTGCTTTATTTTGAATTCTTCCGAATAATCAAAGAGTTCATATTTACCTTTTTCTTCGGTACTCGCCTCCGCCGCGGCTGATTCCGGTTCGGCAGCAATGCTGCTGGAAATGGTGGCCGTCGTCGGTTCGGATTTTTCGTCTTCTGGCAAACTGGATATGGAAACCTGACTGGTGTCCATTTCCGACGCCCACGTTTCGGATTCTACTAATTTGGCAGTGTGATCGTGAACATCGTGTTCGCTGACTTCCTCTCCTTCTAAAATTATTATGAAAAAATAAGTTATTCATTATGACAAAAAATTATTAATAATTAATCTGCAAACATAATAATTCAAATAACTTAATTATTATAATTTATGTATATAGATATTTAATTATATACAATAATTAAATACTTACACATTTCATAGCTATGTAATATTTATATCTTTATAATTAAACTCAAAAACTAAATCTTCAACTAGACAAAAAAAAGTCTCTCTCACTCCAAGGAAATTGTATTTTTGAATTGAAAATCCTATCAAATCCGAATTCTCTGTCAGCTAAAAAAAATTAAATCTGATCTATGCATATAAAACTAAACCCGACATTTGTTAATAATCAAATGATATGGCCAATATGGCAGCTTAACCACATAACTCTAATCGAAATTATTCAGTATTTTAATCACTAATTAGTCATATTAAAAATCTGGCAAGAATTCAGCTGCATTTCTTAAAAAAGCAGTTTGATTTTATATAGAGATTTCTGTAGAAAGTTTATTATGAAAATTAATATGAACAATGAAATAATTACACTAACTTAAGAATAAAAAAAAGTTAAAATTGCATCATTTGAATACTTTAATTGGGAGGAAAGAGATCAGAATTATTTTTACCAAAGCAAGCCAAACTTATCTCAATTTTATACAGAATTTCATTTTAAAATTTAAAATGGCATTCCTAAATATGGAGTTGCATTAGCAAATGAGCATATCCAACCATGTGTTATTATTTTTGTTCTACATCTGTGTAATTCCTTTAAAGAAATTGGGCTGGAGACTTCAAAGTGCTTAACACATGCCTAAGTATATTATTTGAAAAAAAGGAAATTTTGTATTGCATAGGATTCAATTTTTGATAGAATTATTACAATTAAAAATATTGCTAAATCTTTATAATACTGTAAATTAAGTATAAATGAATTTCAATTCATGCTGTATTTGATGAAAAGCAACTCTTAAATAAAAATTTCAAAACTTTTCTAATATTTAACAATTTTAATTTGATTCCAAACATTAGGTTTAGTTTAAGTTGACTTAGTGCTAAATGATTTAATATCTTTTATTATATTTTTAATTATTTGGCTTCTTGTAAGACAGATAGTCTGATAGTATATATTAAATTTTCATGGAAAAAATCATTTATACTATTACCCATGACAATTGTTGTGGCAGTTTCAGTAGCTCCTTGTTTCACTACGTTCTCTCTTATAACTTCTTGTGTTTCGACAGTAACGGATGATATGTATTTTACGTCTTTTTCTTCTCTTTGGTCCTGCGTTATATTTGCAGCCTGGGCAGGTTCTGTACATAAAATTCATTAAAATTATTAATTGGTTTTGTATATCATGTAAATCATTTATAAAAATTTGCCTTAGATAAAAGTTTTCTTTATATTATTATAACATTAAATTCTATTGATAAGTGTGTAAAAAGTTCTTAGATTTCTAGAAAAAATGAAATTTAAACTTCAGACTGGTGTACAGTAAGATGGACAATAGTGTATAATATACACTGTATCGAATAACTAGCACCGAACTGATATTTGGGATCAAGAAATCACTAAATTTTTACTATCAAATATGAGGAAAAAGCACAGAAGGAGGCCAAATATCATAAAACATAAGCAAGATCTTTATTTCAAATTCATAAATGAAAAATGATTTACAGTTTTATTTATGGCAGAAATAATGTCGACACAGCCAATGCCTTGCAATATACCATAAATTTTATAAGACACTCCCCATTTACGTGAGTTAATGCATGAAGAAAAAGGAATTAAATTTCAAGTTTAGTTAAACTGATTTAAAAGATCAATATAATATTGAACTCTAATAGGGAATTAGGAGAATATGATGAATGACAAAGAATTCTTTTTGTAGATTTTTATGAGCAACAACCAACTTGATACACTAGAGTTTCCAAATTATCTGCTGGATTTCTATGTTCAGACTACATTATGGCTTCTTAATGATCAGAAACAAAGCAATTTGTCTGGAGGTGGGCAGTTAAGCTTCCGTCCGTTAATAAATTTAATAATTAGAAATAAATTAATTTTAAATTTAGAATTTTCTGGAGAAACAATCAGGCTGGAGCTAGACTCAAATCTACAACCTCTGCTTGCCATGCAGTTGCATTATCCGATATGCTACCTAGACTCCAATACAATCTTTGCTTCCAGAACTATTAATTAATTCATTTAGAGGTAACCACATTGGTTTCTCAAGACACCAGAGTGGGAATGACTTTAGCAACCATGCCTCTCCATAATATATTAAATAGCATAATAGAAATCTGGCAAATTTTTTTTAGATTAATTGAACATTAATGTACTTAAGAAAACAAGCATCTGTATGAGTTTTTTTAGAATTCTCCAGCAATATCATTCGTAAAGCAAAACATAAGATAGATGTCACATTTTGATAGTTTTCTTTCACAATTTTGACATTCCTGATTGGTTTTGTAAATCTACAAAACACTTTATTCGAATTTTTTTTAAAAAATTTTGTTTTGTATGCTAAAACCCATTTTCAGTGAGCCATTTATAAGGCCTTTAAAATGCAGAAAGACAGAAAAGAGCTAATATTGTTTTTGTCTATAAATCTGTGAATATAACAATGATTCACTGATTTACAGCATTACTTTCATGTTTTTCTTCAATATTCACAATTATAAATTGGCTGCTCTTGTGCTTTTCTAAGACTTTGAAGGTACCCAAAGTCTGGGTTTATAGAAAGAATACATATAATAATAATAAAATAAATGCAACTTCCTTTTAATTCCTTATAGTTGTTTAAGAAACTAGAAATAATTCTGACTAATTAAAGAAATTAATTTCCTGATGTAATGAAGAATGTTCTTATATATTCAATATAACAAGAATGACAAAAAATAAACTGTCTTTCTGGAGTTCACCTTTGTTATTTTTAAAGAACTTAGAATTTTTTTCACATTAACTCTTCTTACATACTTCGTATTTTAAAATTAAATTATATAATGCAGTTTCTTTTGCTGCAGTAAAAGTGTCTTGGTAATATTTCGAGCCAAAAACTATAAATCTACTTTAGCTATTGTTTGAAATTTCATCAGCATATTTACTGTTTTCTTCAAATTTACAAATGAAATTTTATTTCTGATTGTGATGATTTTAAATTTAAAATAGCAAGATATTTTGTTGTTTCTGTGGTTAAAAAAAAATTAGTAATGCATTTTGCAATTTGTTGGTTTATTACATTGGAAATTTTATAATCTTTGACTTTTTGTTGCCAAAGAATAAGGAATCCCAAAACTAATGATAAAATTAGCATCTAGACTGGTCGCTCCTCCCAAAAATTAGGTCAAGGTCACAATCAAATTTGGCAACAGCAGTTCAGAATATAACGCTTGCCAACTTTTAAAATTTACATTTCGCTAAAAGGTACTTGGATTCCAAGAAGAATTTTTGAGAGATTCTACATATTTAAATCATACATAGAAACTTAGAATAATGTTTGTTGCATTATTAACATTCTCATAATTTGAAGAATTTATAAAATTATTAATAACATTTCATTTAAAATACAATTATTATTTTATTTATGTTTTAGATAAGCAGTTTTATTTTGATAAAATATTACATGAAAACAATCTTTATTTACTTTTATTATTATTATTATTGAACCTTTTGTTAAAAGAAATTAAAATGGAAGTATTCGTATTCTTCAAAGTTCATTGACACTAAGAATCCAACTGCGAATCCATCAAATGCACCAGTAAGATAAGCCACAAATGAATCTGGAGTAGCTTCTTGATTGTCAACGTACCAATTGCAAATAGAAACACCAACACCAGCACTAACAATAATTTAAAATTTTATCTTCTAAACCAAATATAAAAATTATAAATTCAAGAAAAGAACAAAATATATATTAAAATTATATTCTGGGCCAAGCTTATAAATTAATAATTTATACATCTGTAATGATTTATAATAATTATTCAATTAAAGGAGGAGATAAACACTGTCTATTGGCATTAAATGATTTTTATTACTTATAACGTCATCATAAGAACTTTCAACATTTTATAAATGTCATCTTCAGGCAAAGAAAAGAATGTACAGTGAGACTCTGCTTAACACGGGATGCGTTCCTAGACAACAAAGTGCTAAACAAAACAGGGTTAAACAAGGTCATTTTGACATAGATAAATAGGGATAGAGGAACATGCGACCAAAAATAAACAAATTTTACTTTAATTTTAAGTTATTTTTATATTGATTTGCATAATAATATATGTTAAATAACACACAAACATATGCACACAGAAATGTATAGTTCATTTTTTGTGATGAAGGTCCTGGCTCTTCAGAAATGCTTGTTTTTTTTTTTTTGCAATAGTCATGAAGTTTCATTTGTCATTTTTTTCTTTCCTTAAGCAAATGTTAGCAAATGTAGCGGAAGATTGCATCCGAAATGCCTTGTTTTGCTTTTGCCCTCCTTTTAAAATCTGGATCATTCATTACAATTTGATCAATGATTTTGGTTATCGTTACCAAACTTTTACTAAGGAAATCTGTAGAGAAATGTTTTGGGTTCTTCATTTTTAGAATCTCTATTTTCCAGTTGTACGTGAATTCCTTGTTCTGCCAGTTCTTGAAGATCATCATCGGTAAAGCTTTCACCAGAAACCTATGGTAACTCCTCAATATCCCGCTCATCTACATCTAGTCATGCTGTATCGATTAGGTGGACAATTTGGTTGACCTAACGATACAGTGATAGGCTCTTCTCGTTGAGAATTCTTGGATACCTTCAGTCATAACTTCTTCCACACTTCATGCATTTATCGGTTAATTCTTTCAAAGCGAAGCCGATATTGCCTATGGATTCCATGATGTTATATTTTTTCCAAAATTTCACCAAACAAACATAGGTTTAAAGGAAGTACACCTTTTTGCCACCTTTATCTGATTGGTTCGTGTTTGTAAATAATTGTATTATATACGTATCAATGAAATGCTGCGATAATTTAAATTGGCGTAAATTTTGAGGTTTTTTTTAGGCTTCGAGCAGACAGCGTTATATCAAATCAGCATTATATAGGGTCTTACTGTAATTTAGGAGCACCAGAATAAAATTTAAATAGAAATGTTAACTATTTGAAAATGGAATATAAATACAAAACATTTCTATTTAAATTTTATTCTGGTGTTCCTAAATTACATTCTTTTCTTTGCCTGAAGATGACATTTATAAAATGTTGACAGTTCTTACAATGATGTTATAATTAATAAAAATTGTTTAATGCCAATAGACTTATCTCGTTCTTTAATTAGATAATATTTTGGTGTGGTGAACCTAATCATTACTTTTATATTATAATAATAAATAATTTAATAACATTGTATTGAATATTTAAGAATTAGAACAAAAATAATCAAAAATAAAAGTAAATGGCAGTCTTTAAGTTATTGCCAGAATATTTAGTGATTAAATATTGAAATATGTGGTACTCCAAAGGAAATGGTGACATCAAGTGAGTAAAACTCATCATCATAAATGTGTTTGAAACACAAAACAATTTAATTTAAATTTTTATGTACTCGTGTGTATGTTGTGTATGTATTATATATATACACACACACACATATATACACACATTAAAAAAAGTAAATAAATATTAGGGAAAAGTTTGTATCTACTTGTTTCTTTATATACTTGTCTGTCTTTGTGAGGAAGACATGAATTCCTCTGCCTGCTTTTTGCTGAGGTCTACTTTTGTGTTTCTTGGGCTCTATTGAGTGTTTTTTCTTGTTGTTTTTTATCATTTTAGTTAGTATTTGTGTTACTGTTTAGATTTTGAGTCAGTTTGTCATTCTCGATAGGCTTGATTTTTCATTTTCACATGTTTTTCATTTGTCAGCTTAGCTAGTTCAGTTTCTGTTTTGGCTTTGCCAGGCAGAAACGGTTAGGTGTTTTTTGATTTAATCAATTTAACTCTACTCCTTTAATCCTTCAATTAAATCCTTTTCAACTTCTACACTATCACCTTCTTGTTTTTGGCTGGCTTTTGTAAATTTTCAAGTTTTTAAGGTGTTTTTCAGTTAGTTAGTCTTGTCTTAGTTTAGGTCTAAGATAGATAGATCTCTTTTTGTAGTTAGTTAGGTCTTCAGGTGTTTAGCTTTCCCTATAATTTTGGTTTTTCTCAGTTAACTAGTTTGAATTTTTTGAGCTTTTCTGGTTTTACTGCATTGCAGTACAGTATTTTGGTTTTTCAGGTTTTTCTGAGTTGTTCTTCAGCCTTTTCGGTTGTAGGTTCATAGT